TTTGTCTTCAGCGATTGTGTCGGGAAAGTGAGCATCATGGAATGCCAATTTAATACAACAATGTGTTCTTACATTGAGGGAGTACTTGAGTGGAGGCCCAATGTCCATCTGCTGGAAAGGGCACATTGTTAACCTTTCCTCGTGTGTCCTTACAGCATCAACTAAGTGGATGGAAGAGAGATGGGCAAGCATGTTCTAGCAGCTTCTGACACAGGAGAGGCTGCTCCGCAGCCCCAGTTCTCTGATGGCCTGCTTTCCCCGGGACCCTAGGACAGCAGGGTCCCTTGGTCCAGGAAGTGTTTCCTAACCCTAGACCCCCTACCTGCCTCCCTTCCTTCCCACCTGCTTACCCGCTTTGGCTGCTCCCCGCAGGGTGTGTGTGAGGAAATGACCTACGAGGAAATTCAGGATCATTATCCCCTGGAGTTTGCCCTGCGGGACCAGGACAAGTACCGCTATCGGTACCCCAAGGGAGAGGTAAGTGGGGTTCGTCTGGGAGCTGAGACATGCCCTGAAGTGCTACCTGAGGCCCGGGACCCCAGGGGCCCTTTTGACTCCTGCATCCGCCCCCCCCTTTCCAGAAAGTATCCTGAAGCAGTAGCCAAGTGAAAAAAGCCCCCAAGACACATGTGTGGGTACACACACCCATATGTAGGTGCCAGATGCCTGGGCACCGTGTGCCCAGAGAACAGTCAAAGCAGGCAAAGCCGCTCACTGCGCCACCTCTAGGGTACAGGGGGAACTACTGCTGTGGAAAGACAGTGACCCCGAGAATTGATGTAGGATCTTCCCAGAAGCACCCGGGGCCAGCACAGATGGGCCTGGAGGGATTGCTCTGTGTCATCAGAGCTCGGGCAAATCCGGTTTCCAATGCTAGGCCTCTCTGGAAGGACTGCTCGTTGTGAGCAAGGGGCTGTGGCCACAGAGAAGGACAGAACCTCAACCCAGGGCTGAGGCTCCAGGTGAAACTCCTAGAGCCACCAGTCTGTGGCTGGCCCGAGCACAGGCAGAAGTCCAAGTTCCCTCCCTCACTGCCCGCCTCAGCGGGGGGGAGGTCCAGGGAGGCAGGCAGACAGCAGGTGGCTCTCCCACTGACCATATGAATTCCAGCTGCTCACTGGAGCTGGGTTCAGAGTAGGACCGGTCACCACCGGGGCACGGATGCGTCCTCTCAGGACCAAGGAACCTCACCCCACCCTCAAAGTCCTGTGAGCACCTGGCCCCAGGGTGGAAGAGGGAGCCCCGTTTCCAGGATGCCCACTATCCCCGCACCTCCTAAGCTGGAGCCTCGTCTCCTGGGCTCTGCATCAAGCTGCCCCTCACCCCCAGCTGGGCCTGAGGGAACACAGCCCCAACTTCCTACGGGGGGTTCCAAGAAGGGGTGGGCAGCTCCTTCCCCAGATGTCCCCACCCCTGACTCCCACCTCAGGCTCCAGAAATGGACTGAGGCCCCAGGCATAAGAGGGGACCAGGTTTAGGGGGCGTTTCTGGGCCTGAGGGACCTGCCCCACCTGATCTTTGCAGTCCTACGAGGACCTGGTCCAGCGTCTGGAGCCGGTCATCATGGAGTTGGAGCGTCAAGAGAACGTGCTGGTCATCTGCCACCAGGCCGTGATGCGCTGCCTGCTGGCCTACTTCCTGGACAAGGCGGCAGGTGCGTACCCTGCCCCTGGGGAGGGGCGTGTGTGTGTCTGTGTGAGAAAGAGAGAGAGAGACAGACCTGCCGAGGGGGCGGGGAGGGAGCGGAAAAAAAAAAAAAAAAAAAAAAAAAAAAAAAAAAAAAAAAGAGAGACAGACCTGCCACCTGAGCACCCCCGGCAGGCCAGCTCTCTGGGTCTGTGTCCACAGAACAGCTGCCCTACCTCAAGTGCCCGCTGCACACGGTCCTGAAGCTGACCCCCATGGCTTACGGTAAGGAAGGACCCTGCTGTTCTCTGCAGAGCCGGGTTCTCTGCAAGGGCCCACAGTGTTCTGCAAAGCTCTTAAACGTTACATTAGGAGCCAGCCCCTTCACACACCCTCCCCAACACACACCACTGCCCTCAAGGATTTACTTTTTAAAAAATGCCAAGGGCCCACATGTCACCACAGGACGGACACCCCCCCTGGGGACCTGCCACCTTCTCCTGCCCAAATGAAGGGCTTCTCTCTGGTCTCCCTGAACAACCCCCCCTCCCCGCAGCACTACTTCATAGCCCCCGGGGCTCCAGACCGTAAGTGATTTCGGGGTGCAGCGTGGTTTGCAGACCTCCCCTGCCCCTCACTAGTTCAGTGTGCTTGTCACCCCCAGGTCCTCGGCCCCTCCTCTTGAGCACAGTCCGCCAGACCCCTCAGAGGCAGCTGGCGCAGGCGCAGTCCAGCCCTATGGCGGCCGAGGTCACCCTGACGTGGGGACATCCCTAGTGCTGGCTCGTGCTCCAGTTGACTTGGCCTCAGGCGGCAGGGTTAGGGTGCGGGTGGTTTGAGGGCTCTGCCGATGCGAGAGGAGATTGCAGGCAGTCGGATGGACTTGGGTCTTCCTTCTGGCAGGTTGTAAAGTGGAGTCCATATTCCTGAACGTGGACGCTGTGAACACGCACCGGGACAGGCCTCAGGTAGCCGTGGGATCCCTGCGGGGATGGCAGCCTCGTTGTGGGAAAGGGAAGGGGGCGGGGTGTGTGGTGTGTGGATCCCAGGGCTGTGTGTGTGTGTGTGTGTGTGTGTGTGTGTGTGGTATGGTGTGGTGTGTGTGTGGTGTGTGAATCCCAGGGCCGGGCCTAGCGGGGAGCCTGCTGGGTGAGCCCAAGTCCTCTGCCAGGGCTGTTCTGCTGTGGATGGGGCCCTGGCTCTGCTGGGACCCAGAGTCGGGCACTTGCCAAAAACCTGCTGCACTAGGGGTGGCCAAAGCCTTGGCCGCCAGGCAGAGAGGCAGAAGGGGCTCCCAGCGAGATCGGAGTAAGGTGTGAGATCCTAGCTGGGAAGCAACGAAGGGCTTATGAGGGTGCAGGTGGACATTCTCCCACGCCTCCTCGCCCCAAGCCTCACGAACGCTTCTTCAACTCAAGAGTGGTGAATGCAAAGCAGTGAATGCAAAGCTCTGGGCCATGTCGATCCGAGAGCAGCTCTCCACCCTGTCCATGTCCCCCAGGGGTCCCCCCCCCTCCCTGCCCATGGGGGTCCTCTCCCCAGGTGGGGTAATTACCCTCCAATCAGGCCATGGGCAGGACTGCCCCTTCCAGGACCCCAGCCCAGTGCCACAGCCCACCACACAGAGGGGGCTTCTGGGCCCAGCCTGGCTGCTGCCATCCACAGTGGGACCTGCTTCCCTACCAAGGGTACAGGTTTTAGACTGGACCAGGCTGGCCTGCCAGCTGTCCCCGGTCACCCTCAACCTCCTGGTAAGAGCCCTACTGGCAGAGGCACGTGGGCAGGTCCTGTTCTTCCCAAGACTCCGCCCCTAGCTGAGGCTAGTTCTCCTCCACAGGCCTTGAGAGTCTGTTCTTTTCCTTGTCCATGCCTGGGCCCAGTCTGATCCAGGACCACAGGTCACAGGGGGGAGGTGTGTCCTAGCAGGCGCCCTTTGTGCTGAGGAAAACCCAGACAGCCCAGGACCCTGGCACCCACAGAGTATGATGATGAAGCAGGCCACCCTGGCTTCTAGCTGCAGGGTGATGGTCTGTGTTTTCATGTTGTGCAGAATGTAGACATCTCACGGCCACCAGAGGAAGCCCTGGTCACGGTCCCTGCACACCAGTGACCACGCCTGGCCCGCTGCTGCAACCCCCCTGGGCAGGTGTGGTCTCGGCAGTAAGGTCGTTCCAGCCGCCCCCTGGTCCTGTGACAGTCGTCGTGCACGTGTGCCCTGGAAGCCCTGTGGGCTGGGGGTGCTGACCGCCAGTGAGGGAGCTGTACGTGGTACCCGACCTGCTCTGGAGAACCTGCCCGGGCCTGCAGAGGTGTCCCCGCGCCTGACTCTCTCTCAGCTCTTAGGGGTCTTCTCTCTGGCTCGGGGCTGCGTGAAACCCTAACATGTGAAATGGAAAGTGCGTCCCTGTCCTGCTGTGTGCCACCCCCGCCCCTGCTCCCGGGGCTGGCCGGGCACCCCCTGACCCTGACGACCTCCTTCTGAGGTGGAGAGGGGGCAGTGCTTGGTGGGATTTGAAGGCCGCCTCTTTTCCCACCTGGACAGCCGCTGACCAGGCCTTTGTAGCTGCGCCCCTGCACCTGCGAGCCTTCGGGATGCACAGAAGCACTTGGGGAGGGGGGGGCCCTGTGGCCACCCCTTCCCAACCGAACAGACACTGAGACACGGGGGTGGGGGGCAAGGCCGCCCCTCCCAACTGCTCCCCCAGTGAAACTACTTAACGGCGGGGCAGTTGCCTCCTGTGTGTCATCGTCCCCCCCCCCCCCCCCGCCGCCCCAGCCCCCCTTGCGGTGCTCACACCCAAGTGCTCAGGGAGAGGCAGCCCCCGGCCTCCTTCCCCAGCAGTCATGCCTGCTGCTGTGCCCACTCGGGGGCACACATGCCTTTGCTCGCCACACTTAGAAAAGCTGGTCGTGAGCTGGTACTGCCCGCGTGGGCCGGTACTCACTGACCCCTCCTGATGAGACTGGGGGAGAGGGCCAGAGCCCGCAGGCAGCCCCTGGCCCAGGCAGGGCTTTTGGTTCCTGTGCCCACCAGCCCTAACCCCAACCCCCACCCCACCCCAGGTCTGGTGTGTGCCCTGCCTGCCCCTGCGCTCCTCTGGCCCCGCAGAGACAGGGCTGCGGCCAGGGGCCCAGCTCCGCGATATGGCTGGGCGGACAGACCCTGCAAGAGGCAGCTTCTCCACCAGCCAGCAAGTGGTACGAGCAGGGGAACTTCAGTGAAGCCTGTCCCAGGCCTCAGGCCTCCCTAGTTTCCAGGACCTTCCTTGGGCTGTTTCGGGCAGAGCAGCCCACCCTTCCCAGCCCCTGGGGGCTTTGCAGTCTGCTAGTGTCGCCGTCCCTGGCCCCGGCTGGCATGCTCTCTGCCGCGTGTCCCACAGCAGCTGTGGACACAGTGCGTGTGGCAAAGGCAGGGCTCTGCTTTGTGACTCCTCAGAGCTCCAAGCCCCTCTCAGCAGGGAGGGGGACACTCCATGTCCCTGAGGGCCTCTGCCCTGTGCCCTCGCATTTAGGTGGCTTTGGGTCCCTCGGACACACTTGTTGGTCACAGCAGCAGACCACAGTTCTGAGTATCCCTGCCTCTCCGAGGACCTCCAGTCAGCCGAGGCAATTCCACGGCGACTCCCATCTGCTTCCGGGGCCTGGGTCACAGCACAGACAGGAGGCAGGAGCAGGGACTCCCTGGCCTCTGGCCCGGAACGAGCGTTGCCGGCTCAGCAGGGGCCGGGCCATGGCTGTGCTGGCTGATAAGCACCCGTGGCGGGCGGCCTCCTGCGTGTCCTGGGAGGCTCGGCACGTCACGCCACGTCATGCCGCGCCATGTCCAGAACTCTCTGCAATAAATACTTGAAAAAGCACCACAGCCCCTTATTTCTCAGTCTTGTTGGCGCTCCACCCACACGTCGTAGAACACAGCAGTTCCCTCACACCAAGAAGAGTTGTACAATCATGACCACCATCTGTCTAGGAGCACCTTCTTCTTCCTCCTCGGACTCCCGGCCATTCGTGTAATTGTTTTCTTTCCATTGTGGCAAAAATACGCACAACAAAACATTCTCTCATAAAGCAACCTCGTGTCTAATGCAGGGCGTTGGTTATACTCTGTGCTGGGCAACCAGTACTGATTGCCCTCCCCAGCACCCCCATGCCCCATCCACATCTCCCAGAAACCACTGCACCAGTTATCATCTACTCTGCTTCACAAACTGGGAAATCCAACAAAACACTGCAAGAAGAAAAGACATAAAAAATATAAATTAAATGTAATAAAGAACAGGCCACCATCAATATTTAAAAGGCCAGAGAAGAGATTTATTTCCTGGAATGGGTGAGAAATACTGCAGCCCAGGACAAATTCAGGTTGGGTCAAGAAGGGGATCAACTGACCCAACGATCGATCGTATACACCATGGTTCAGTCCACCCTAGCCAAGTGGCAATCATCTCTGATCAGAAAGCAGCTCAGGTCCCTTGCCTGTGGTTAGAGGGGATCTGCGAGAGGCTGAATCTGACTAGCACAGGGGTCCTCAAACGTTTTAAATGGGGCCAGTTCACTGTCCCTCAGACCCGTTGGAGGGCCTGACTACAGTTTTTAAAAAAACTGAACAAATTCCTATGCACACTGCACATATCTTATTTTGAAGTTAAAAAAACGGGGCAAAACCACCCAGCGGGCTGCATGTGGCCCGTCGGCTGTAGTTTGAGGACACCTGGTAGAGTCTACAGATGGCTCTACTACCCTAATTGTTCTTCAGGTCCAATGTCCTGAGATCATGTAGTTAAATGATCACATTGAGGGGTCAGTACCACTGTAGGTTCAAGGACACAACAGCCATCAGACAGGATTGGGGCTTATGTGGACAGGACTAGTAAAACCATGGTCCTCACTGACGCGTTCAGGCCTTTGCTGGTTGCACATTTTGTTCCTTTGCTATCTCCACCTGTTTGGGCCTTAGGGGGGGTCTGGGGATCAGAGACCTGCAACGATCCCTGGAGGTCCGATCACCTGGAATCCCTACTGTCATGTCCTTGCTGCCACCAACCGCCTTTCCTCAGACAGCACAACACTGCTACTTCGTCCTTGTGGCCCAGGGTGTGGGGACCGAGGAGCTGTTTCAACTGTAGTTCCTTTCACTCGAATCGCTGACCCACAGATGTGGGAAACTGAGGACTGGGAAGCGAGTGCATGAGGGCGAATTCTTTATTATCCTACTTAAGAAGCCTGGGAGGCCCAGGGTTCTTTCTGGGTGGAGGGAGGCCTTCACACTTGTGAGTTAGAGATGAGCCCCAATCACATGCTCCTAAGATGATTCCCCAAGATATCCTCCCCTAATAGTGTTACCTTAAAGTGACCTCTGACCAGCACGTGGCTGACTGCTGTCCATGTTGCTATTGCTCTCCCTGCTCAGGGGACGGCCACTCCCCCTTACCTGCCCCACCACTGGTTAGGTTACTCCACTGAACCCAGGGACCTCTAGGGTTAGGGCACAGCCCACTGTGTTACCTAGTCTGGTTACCTGTAATTTGGGGGGCTTACATGTCCCAGACTGTGAGGAACAGAAGGATTTCTCTTAAGTTGTCTCCCCAAAATATATGCCAGACTTAGCTTGAGAAAATAGGTCAGAGGTTATTCTCCCTAACATCAGCTATCTAGACTATAGTCTGACTCACCCTAAATAAGACCCACTCCCTTCTGATAAGGACAGTGGTTGTCTGTCTACTTGTAGGAGTTATCAGAGAGGGCAAACCCGCCCAAGGATGACGGAGGTTAGGTAGCCATTATCAGCTGTCTAGATCAAGCAGACACCACTGTTTATCCCACAACAAATGTGGACACACCCCTAGGTCATCCCCCTCTTATCGATTGTATTGCCTATGTTGCTACCCCTCCCGGTGACTTAGGTTATTGTCCGCTATCCCAGAATAGTAGTTGTAGGTTTTATTATATGAGACATCAGAGTGATCAAACTTGTTCTAGAATGAATTGTATTGCCCCTTTCTGTGATGTATGGCTCTGTAATCAGACCCCCCTAAAGTGATATGATATGTGGTTAGCAATAAATAATGAGGCTCCCTGGCCGAGGGGTGGCTGGCCGAGGGTGGCTGGAGAAGGTGGCTAAGGAGGACGAAGCAGCGGCTTCTTCTCTGATGGCTAAGCCCCCTCCACGAGGACCATCAAGCAGAGCTGAGGTGAGCAATGCTACCATGAATTGCATCTGACTCCATTACTTGACTCCATCCTTTAACTCTCATGCTCTCTATGACTTTACTATAATCTCTACTTATTATCACTGTACAATTGCACCCACTGAACCTGTGATGTTTTGTGGGGTTCCCTCTTCCCTTTAACCCCACACCAGACTATATAAATTGATGTAAGAATGTATTTTCTCTCTGCTCAGACCTGGTTCCTGATGCCACGGCAGGGGTGAGCACCCCAAAACTTTTGTCTGTCTCTTAATCTCTTCCTTTCAATGACACAACGCCCCTGTGAGGACCCATCCAGATGTGGGGCTGGCCCTCACACACGGAACAGTGCGTGGGGCTTCTCAAAGATGCTCCCTACGCCAGTGGCCTTGATGAAGGAGTGTCATCAGGGCCTTCCCCTGGGTCTCCGTTTGAGAAAGGGTGAGTGATTGATCTATGAGAAATCCAGCCCCACATTTACTTTGAACAAAGGAATACCTATGTCCAAGCCTTGGACTCTATCTCCTATAGGACAGGGATATAGAAAAGTCTTCGGGGACTGGACATCTTACCTTTGCTGCATGAGACTCAGCTTTCATTCAGCCACGGGGACTGGGTCAGCGCAGGCGTCTAAAGTCTCTGCCAAGTGTCCCGTGAACCCCACCTGTTCTGCATTTACATTCTTCCCTCCTTAGTCCAGGAGAATCCATCTCCCAAGCATTTGCTCCATATTTTGGCCAACGTAAAGTAACAGCCCTGGGATTCTCTTGATCCATCAGCCTTTCCCTCTGGCCCTGGCCTTCTCATAGTCTCCTTCAACGCGCTGGAATCACTTCTAGTTTAAGGCACTGGAAAGTGTATAGAATTTGGGGATGGGGTCATGAGACACATTGACTTTTTCTTAGTGGTTTTTCCCCAAGCTGCTCGAGGTCTTCAAGGGGAGGACACCTTGTCTCCAGTGGGCAAGTGAGGTGCTGAGAGCCTAGGGGTGGTGGTCATCAGAGCTCCCTGAATTCTTTCATAGATCTTTATTCCAAGTCATTGATCACATGTATTAAATGCTTTTGCTGTGGCTCCAAAGATGGGATCAGGCTTACGTACTATTGTGAGGGTGTTGGAGGACTAGACAGGGTTTGGTTCTAGAGGATCTTAGGGTTCTCTAGAGAAACAAAGCCAGGGCACTAATGATTTTATATATATTTATATAGATAGATATATAGCATAAGAAATAAACAGCTAATCTATAGAGCAGTACAAATGGCTCAGTGCAACTCGCTTCCATGAGACAGCCAATACACTGACAGTCCTTCAGGTCCTGAGGGTCGCTGGATTCAAGCCAAGGAAGCAGACAGCTGAATCCTCTGTAGAGCAATTCAGGCAATCTGGCCAGAGGCAGCAAACAGCAAGGCAGGTCACCAACAGTCAGCCAGATGACAGGGTCCAACAGTCCCCAGCTCAAGCGATGTATACTCCAGTAGTGTGGCGAAGCAGCTCTTGAAGGAACCTCAAGCTACAGCGACACAGTCCACGGGTTACGT